AAATATAATTATAGAAAAAAAAAAGAAGAAGGATTGATGCCTTTGAGTTATGGTGCTGGAGAAGAGTATTGTACATAACACTGTGGACTGCTAGGAGAACAAACAAGCCTGTCCTAGAGAGGGTGAAACCAGGTTGCTCCCTGGAGGCAAGGATTTTGAAGCTTCATCTCACATACTTTAGGCAAGTGGCCAGGAGAGACCAGTCCTTGTAGAACAACATCATGCTTGGATGGGTAAAGGGACAGCGCAGGAGAGGAAAACCTAGGATGAGATGGACTGACTCAGTGACTGGAGAAATGGGATTAGGTCTGAAGGAGAGGATGAGATTTGCTCAGGATAGGGCAGGTTCCAGAGCTAATGTACATAGGTTCCTTGTGAGTCACAGGTGACTCCATGGCACATAACAACAATCCATGGACTGCAAAAAGGAAAGAACAGATATGTCTTGGAGCAAGTGCAAACAGAGTGCTTCTTGGAAGCAAGCTTTCGTTTGTCCCAGCTGCAAGTGGAGAGACATGGGTTTAGAAATCCACTGCTCAAAACAACTATGAGAGATATCATCTCACCCCAGTAAGAATAGCAAAATTTAACAGAACAGCAAGCAACAAATGCTGGTGAGGTTGTGGAGAGACTGGAACCGTTATTCACTGTTGGTGGAAGTGTAAAATGGCGCAACCACTGTGGAAAGCAGTGTGGTGCTTTCTCAAAAAGTTGCGAATAGAGATATCATTTGACCCAGCAATACCTCTACTGGGAATATACCCCAAAGAGACCATAACTGCCACCCAAGCAGGTATATACACATCCATGTTTATCGCTGCTTTGTTCACAATAGCAAGGAGTTGGAAACCACCTCAGTGCCCATCAACAAACGAATGGATAGAGAAGCTGTGGTATATTCACACAATGGAATACTACGCTGCATTGAAAAACAAGGAATTCATGCAATATTATTCAAAATGGGTGACCCTGAAGGACATTATACTGAGTGAGGTATCTCAGTCAAAAAGGGCAAATACTGCATGGTGCCACTGTTGCAAAACAGGACTGACATGGGTTGGGGGTGGGAGGAGACTGAGAAAGATGGGATAAATAATGTATACTGCATTGAAACAGATGAGAGAGAAAACTGTTTAAAAAGGATACGTGATTAGATATTTTTGTCCAGAGCGAAGGCTGCATAGTTGAGTGGACCTGGGGGGGAGGGATTGTAAAACAAAGACTTTTTCTTTCACTTTTTTAAAATTTTTAAAAATTTTTTTTGCTGAAGACTATATTTTAAATTTTTTAATTTTTTGTGCATGTACCGTCAAATTGCATCTGACTGGTACAGGAAGAATTTTTCTTTTACTTTTAATAGAGGGGAGTGTACTGGGGGGGGAAATAGGAGAAAAGTAGAACAATGAATAAATGGAAATCCAAAGTCTCTGTAAATTTTTATTGAAATTAATAATAAAAGAAAAAAGATCTCCCCCGCGGCCCAAGCCCTCTTGAAGCGCCTCGGATGGGACGCTGTCCGAGTGGGTGGGTCAGTCCGGCTGCTCAGCTCTGCAAACGCGCCGGGGGGCGGATCTCAACCGCCGGAGCGGAAGCGCCGTGGCGCTCACTCCCGCGGGGAAGACTCTCGGCGACGGACCAAGATGGCGGCGCCCGCCGACTCTCCCTCGCTTGTGGCCGGGCTTGAAAAGACTTGGGGGACAGTCGTTCGCTCCCCAGAAGGGACCCCGCAGAAAGTTCGACAGCTGATAGACGAAGGGATTGCAGCGGAAGGAGGCGGCGCCGACGCGTGAGCTCGCCGGTTACTCGCGGGCCTGTCGGAGGTGGAGGCATCGGGAACGCAGGCCTGCCTCGGCCCCCTTGGTCCGCGCCGCGGGCCGGGGATGGCGTCTTCGCGGCTTCCGAGCGAGGCCGGGGTTTACTAAGCTTAGTTACACGCTTCTCCACACGGGAGATGTCTCCGATTTCGCATCCCGGGTGGAATTTTGCCGTAGACAGTTATACGGGGGAGAGGAAGAAACAAATCGCCAGCTGAATGAATGTGCTCACCGAACTGCTCCTGTGTGGGGTTCTTTACTGTTCGTGTGCCAAGGATCCCATTCTCAGAATACTGTTTTTAAAGGTGTAAAGGAAGATAGTTAACTTGAAATGCAGTTAGAAA